TTTCATAACATAAAGGATATAGTTGCTATTGTTCTGCTTTCTACAGCACACATTACTAGTCCAAAGATGAATAATATCCTAAAGTTATAGGCCGATATCTGTATTAGTCTCAGAAATATTGCAATTAATAGGAAAAAAATATGCAATTTTAGTCATTTTTAAGTCTCACGTATCTTATATTTGTAGCTTCCAGCAAAAGATGGCAGCTTAAATAGCTCAAAATTGTTTTCTAAAAACTAATTCAAGCTTTGTTTGATATTGTAATACAATTATAATAATGATAATGTACTGTTTATGATTTTTAATATGACTTTATAGTACCCTACCCCTGGAAAGTGGGCGTGGTCAATGTTATCATTTTGCAGCATACAATTAAAAACTTGTATTGATAGAAAGCAAATCAATGCATATAAAACATCTTCACTTGTTACTTGACAATGTAATTCATTTATTATTAAAATATAGAATTCTACATATTTTATATATACGAATTCAATTTTGTACAATGTATCATGATGAAATCTAAGAGGCTGTTTCAATTTATGTTTAACTTTTTCTCTGATCACCCTTACCTTTTGACAAAATGATCTACTATATGACCAATAGCAACAAAAAATAGCAGAACTGATCAACGTTTAAACCCCCCCCCCCCCTACCCCTATGTTTGTTTTGTATGGGGTCCGCCACAATGCAACAAGTCCATTTTCAGTGCTTACTATCACATGGAATATAAGTCACAATGTTTCCACAATATCTGGACAATGAGATAGTGCCATTAAGAATATGTATGCCCAGATTCAAGATCATGGTGTAAATGCTTGCCAATCTATCGGCTTTCAAAAATGAGGAAAGCTGTCTTGAGTGCCGTTTCAACTAATTTTGAATTAAAACTGCTACTTATGAATTTTTTTCACAACTGTGATTTGGTTAGAGTCCAAACACAGGATATCAAGACATAGTGCTACCAAATTCTGGTATTGAAAATTTCAGAGCTCTAGATCAAGTATTCATATCTGCATGGACTCTTAAAAAGACCCAAAAGACACAAAATGCAGTCAGATATCGCGAAAAAAATGTGATAAAATGCACTATTCAGAACAATTTATCTCTTAAATTTTCCTTTTTTTACCATAATTTCTGATTCTGCCTCTAGTTAATAATACCAATAATACATATGAGTAGACTTAAGGTCATAGTAAGTGTAGTTACAGATTTATTAGCATCTAAAAATGGGAGAAGCAGTGTAGCAAGTGCAATTTTCACCTATAATTCATAATATTAAACTGCAGCTTTCAGGATTTTCTTCTCTAAAACAAGAATTCCGTGAGACCCCAAACGACAGGATTTCATATCACTGTACCACCAAATATATATGAGAGTAGTTTCAGGAGGTTATATCAAATAATCATTGAACCATTGACACCTAGAAATATGCAAAATACAGTCAGAAATGGTGAAATTGTGATTGTGAAAAAATGTATGTATTCTTAACAATTTTTTAACTAAACTGTATTTTATTTAGAACTGAAACTTGAAGTGCTTACTAGGAGATACATCTAGTTATTATTTATTAAGTGACTTCAGCATCCGAATTGATATAATATAGGAATATCCTATGGTTTTGAAAAAATATCATTTATATCCATGAGTGGATATTGATATTTTCATGAGTGAGCACAGCGAGTGAGTGAAGATATTTGTATCCATGAGTGGATATAATATATATAAAATATTTTTGAAAATAATTAAAAAATGTAAGAAGAAATTTTTTTTTGAAAAAATTCGAAACCATCGAATATAATATCCTTGCAACCATGGGATAATCACTGATATGCTTAAGACCAAAAAACCTATAAAGAATGTTATTATTGAATACTGAGAATACATTGTTTTTACATTACGGAGCTTTATTTCTACCTGAAAGTATTTTGGAACATATCTCTTGCTTAAATATTTCATGCAATGTTACTTTCAAAAACATTATTAGAACAATAAGTCCATCCTATACTTTCACATGTTATTCTCCATTTCGTTTTTAAAATTGTGGGAGCTTTAAACTCTAGAAGAGCTTAATTACCAATTATACCATGCACCCTCCGTCGCATTTTTCTTAGGATGGCCAGGCATATTTCAAATTGAAGAGTACAGTCAGTTAAAGTGATATATAGCTGTATATAACAACGTATCTTTCACTTGATACTGTGATGTCAAGCTTAAGCATTCAAACAGTGTATTTTGTCCCAAGATACAATAAAGTACTGATTTCATTTATTTATCAATTCAGATGCCTTGGAATTAAAGTAAACACTTGGTATATATTACCAATATTAATTTTTACTTATTATTGGTGGTACAATGACCAGGTTTCCTTTAATGTCTTTGGTCTTACTTTGTAGTTTTTAAAAAGAAAATTCAGAGAGTTGCAGTCTTAGATGAAACACTGGTGAAAATCATACTTGCTACAGCTTTTCCCATTTTCAGAAGCCAATAGATCTGTACTTCCACTTACTATGACGTTAAGTCTTCTCATATGTATTATTGGTGGTACTAACTGGAGGCAGAATCAGAAATTATGTCAAATAAAAGTAGCATTTAAGAGATAAATTGTTCTGAATAGTGCATCTTTCATATTTTCCACGATATCTGACAGGTTTTTTGTCCTTTTGGGTCTTTTTAAAAGTACATGCAGAAGTGAATATTTGATCTAGAGCTCTGAAACTTCCAATATCAGAACTTGGTAGCATTATGTCTTGGTATCTTATGTTTGGGGTCTAAAAAAGTCACAGATGTTGAGAAAAATATTCATTAAGCAGCAGTTTCAGTTCAAAGTTAGTTAAAACTGCACACACGTCAGCTTTCTCTATTTTTGAACGCCGATAGATTGGTAAGTATTAGTATTAGGACCTTGAAACTGCTCATATTATGTAGTCTTTGTGATACTGTCTCATTGCAAAGGTAGTTTGGAAACATTTCATGCGTTAGTGAACACTGAAAATGAAACAGCCTATTAGATTTCATCATGATACATTTTACAAAATTGAAAACATATATATAAAATATGTAGAGTCCTATATTTTAGTAATAAATGAATTACAATGTCAAGTAACAAGTGAAAATGTTAAAAATGCATTGATTTGCTTTCTATCAATACAAGTTTTTAATTGTATGCTGCAAAATGATAACATTGACCACGCCCACTTTCCAGGGGTAGGGTACTATAAAGTCATATTAAAAATCATAAATAGTACATTATCATTATTATAATTGTATTACAATATCAAGCAAAGCTTGGATTAGTTTTTATAAAACAATTTTGAGCTATTTAAGCTGCCATCTTTTGCTGGAAGCTACAAATATAAGATACGTGAGACTTAAAAATGACTAAAATTGCATATTTTTTTCCTATTAATTGCAATATTTCTGAGACTAATACAGATATCGGCCTATAACTTTAGGATATTATTCATCTTTGGACTAGTAATGTGTGCTGTAGAAAGCAGAACAATAGCAACTATATCCTTTATGTTATGAAATAGTCTTATAGTACCCCCTGAAATCGCAGGAATTGAAGTCCAATTTGGCCGTGAAAATTGTTTTTACCACTTTAAAGGCCATCACCTTATATTTTCTTACACCTACTAGGTCACTCTAACATACTGCATTGCCAAAAGTTACTTCTTGCAAACTTCCGGCAAAACTGTGCCAGCATCTGATATATACCTGCATTTTTTATATTTCTATTTTTTCAAACACTCATGTTACACTCATGCTACACTCATGTTGTATTATCCCATTGATTTTTGTGTCATTCCATTTTTGCTCCAGTGTTGGAACTTCTGTCTTGGATTCATATGATGTATGCAGGGCTCACTCTCAAGCCCCCTGAGCTATTGAGATCGTATTATATGTCAAATTGTCAGCAAAATATGGCGATATGTAATTAAAGATAATGGATGTTTAATTGCATCTTCAGGAAAATCTGTGTTAGTTCTATTCTACAGGGTGAGCCAAAAATGCAACACTTTTTAATAAAATTTTTGATTCAAAATCATAATTAGCATACAAAGTGAAACTTGAAGTTCCAATCTAGCCGTGCTTTATGAATTGTATACTTTTACTTGAATAAAAGATGTCACCAATGTATATATATAATAGCAAAGCCTTCATTGTTCTATATTATACAGGGTGTTCCAAAAGTAACAGGACTGGTGCTGGTATTCTTATGTATCCTCTTCTTTCAAAGGTAGGCTCTTCTTTGGTCAGTCCAAGAGTAGCACTCTGTATCCATGACTCAAACACATGAGTAAACCAATTTGAGGACATGTCACGCAGGGTCGATAGGACAACTTGGAGAAGGTCATTCACATCTCTAAGGTTAAACCGCACTGATTAGCATTCCATTCTCCATATGAGTAAAAATTAAATATGCACAATCAGAAGAGTATGGTGCATTGTCTTAGATCTTAAGACCTAGCTCCTCTATAGCTGCAGGCTAGTGCTATTTAATGCTGACGTGCGGACAGGCGCGTTATCAAGATGGCTGGCTTCAAATTGGGTATTTTTAAAATCCCAACCGTGAATTGTACTGACAGTAATGCAAAGTGATATTACAGGAAATTGAATAAATATTATTATTTTGAAATCATACTTGAATCTGAGTTGTATATCAACACCATTTACAAAGCAAAAAAATAATAAAACAAACAAGGAATGTTGTATGTGATAGGTGAATTAGATACTTTCTTCAGTAACACAAAAACGTTAGATATTACACGTTTGTGAAAAAGCTGCCCCGGGTATTGTGATGCCGTGTTACTATAGTAACCATAACTCTACCAGCATTTTATAATTTTTTCTGAAACTTCACAATTTTAGTTGCAATACTTCAAACTACAATTTGCTAAAATTTGAATACACTCTGTGCAGAATTGACAAAATGCCAGCACCAGTCCTGTTACTTTTGGAACACCCTGTATATGTGTATCATCCATACATTCCAGGAGCTACAAGAAGAGTTGGAGCCATTGACTGAGACAGCATGTGAGATCAAAGAGATCCCCTCTGTGCTTTATGTGCCACTCTTAGAGCCATGCATGCAGGCAGAGAATCTCTGCATTTCTGTGGACATCCTCAAAGGCATCTTCCTACCAGCTATTCCACAATATGGTATGTTTTTTGATATGATCAGAAATTTACATCAGCCTCTGGGGTCCATTTTTGGAACCGTCATAACTTTGTATTTGCTTATATTTATTATTCAACTACAGTAAAACCTGTAACTCGGGGTGGAAGGTGTGAGAATTGTGCAAAAAATGACTTTGTGAGCTGGATGGAGTTTCTCTGTATTTTTCATTCTATTAGGGTTTCCTGCATAAGGGATTTTGCCTGCGAAGCATATAACTCTTGCGAACATATCTAAATATTGGTCCGAGGAAGACATACCTTGAATTTTTTAGAAAAAAATTGGCTAAAAATGGAAACTACAAAAAGTCAAAATGTTCAACTCAAACAAAACTCTAGCTATTTAATATTAACACTATGTATTATTTAATGTTTTTCAGATGTTTAAGGACCTTCATTAGTGTACTAGTGTCTAGAAATAAGATAATTAAGGACAAAATTTGGCATTTTTGATCATTTTCGCTTTCAGCAGTAACATATAGTTCCTTATATCTTGAGTTTAATGTTGACTGGTTGTTGCAATTTTGATTAAATCTGTGCTTGTACATGTCTTCTTCCATTTAAGATACAAAAAATGTATATTGGACCACCAATGGTCATATTAGACTTTCAGATCTCCCCTACCCCATTTATTATGAAAAATTACTGAAACATATGAAAATATAAAATAACTTGAATTTATAAACTTTAACAATGTTGTAGCTATTCTATATCAATATTATGTATTATTTAATGTTTTTCAGATATTTCAGAACCTTTATTGGTATACTAGTGCCTAGAAATGAGACATTTAAGGACAAAACTTGGCATTTTTTAAAATCATTTTAGCTTTCAGCAGTAACATATAGTTCCTCATATATTGAGTTTTATGCTTACTGGTTGTTGCAATTGTAATAAAAATCTGTTTTTGTAGATGTCTTCTTCCATTTAAGGTATAGAAAATGTATAGTGGACCACCAATGGTCATATTAGAGCTTTCAGATCTCCCCTACCCCATTTATCATGAAAAATATAAGAAAAATATGAAAATATAAAATAACTTGAAACTATAAACTTTAATAAAGTTGTAGCTATTCTATATCAATATTATGTGTTATTTAATGTTTTTAAGATATTTCAGAACCTTTATTGGTAAACTAGTGCCTAGAAATGAGACATTTAAGGACAAAACATGGCTTTCTTGACCATTTTCGCTTTCAGCAATACCATATAGGTCCTTATATCTTGAGTTTAATGCTGACTGGTTGGTGCATTCTTAGTCAAATTTGTTCTTGTACATGTCTTCTTCCATTTAGGATATAGAAAATGTATATTGGACAACCAATGTTGATATTATAGCTTTCATGTCTCCCCTGCCCCATTTATGTAAATGAAAAAGTAATTTCAAATCATCAACTTTAACAAAATTGTAGCTATTCTCTATCGATACTATGTATTATTTAATGTAACATTCATTTGATTACATGTGTCTAAAATTTGGCATTTTTAGCATTCTGCATTTAGCAGTAACATATAGTTTTCCACAATTATAATTCTTTGATGATAGATTCATATATGTTTTTTATTGAATCTGTCTTCTCTGATTTAACTTAAAGAAAATGTATGTAAGACAACGAATGTTTTTATTAGAGGTCTAAGATCTGCCCTCCACCATTAAATGAGAAAACCAACACAAATGTTATTATTGCATGATAATATTCTTAAACTTTTCAAAAGTTTAGCATATTTATTAGCACACTAAAATCAAAAAATGACACATAAATGGGCAAAATGACCAATGTTTCACTTTCAGCATTTTTAGTTGAATGGTGATTAGTTGACATATTTTAGATCATATATATTCAACAATGTGTCTTGTTATCTTCAAAGCATGGAAAATGTGTTACAAACACAAATATACATATTAGAGATAAAATTACTACACTACTATATTTTTAAAAGATTACTCAAAAATAGCATAGTGTGAAATAATTTTGTAATTTCGCAGTTTACTCTCATATGAATCAAAGGATATGTCTTTATATAGACATGATTGTTCACAACTCTCGAACTTAATCCAGCAACAGCCTGATTTTTCAAATCTCCCTGGTTCTATGTTAGAGCTGCATTTAAGTCATTTTAAAGGTAACTGGTCAACTGGTACCCAAGACAAGTCGTACCCAAGCATATATTTTGTTTTGAATCAAGTGTTGGACTGGGAATGTGTAAAGATATACATATTATAACTGTAACATACTGTTCAGAAGTTTGAAGAATTTTCAGAAGAAATTGATATAATTTTGTAACATTTTGAGCTTTGAGTGTCAATTTATTTTGACTATTATTTTATATTGGATGTTCGAGTGAAGAGATATATGTTTATTCCACACATTCATAATCATTTTTTTAAATATTGTATGTTTATGAGTGTTTGGAACAAGTGTCAGATTTAATTCATCTTGGAAGATGGTATTATTATAAATGTATTGATTCATCAAATCTTGGGCCTAATTTCTTATTAAACAGATAATCTATTTGTCTAGGATTTCATATTATCAGATATCATATTCATGAAATTTAGCAATAAAATATTTTGAATAATATAATAATAGTATACAAGTAATAATGTAGTATAATATTAATATCAAATATTATTTTGGTACTTATTCATACATGATCTATTATTACACTTAGTATGCATGTGCATAATCCAATTTAGTTCCAATTGGAAAAAAATTAACAGATTAAACTTCCTTTAAACTTTCTCAAAATGCTCAAATTAATTGTTTGATTCATTTGTAGAAAAGTCACTGTTGTAATTATATTTATTTATATATATGTTTGGCAAAAAATGTTGTGAACAAGCACTTCAAGCACTTGTTTTATTAGTAAAAAGGTGATTCAAGTTAAATCAAAATGCTTTACTTAATCCATTGAGAAAAAATGTCTTCTAAATTCAAAAAGATATTGAGGCTTATTTGAGTCACATTATAACATGAAAACATAATTATACAAACTCAATTTGTTTTCCTAATATGCACCCATAATACTGGAAATAACTTGGGTACGAGTTGTCTTGGGTACCAGTTATCTTGGGTACGAGTTGTCTTGGGTACCAGTTATCTTGGGTACGACTTGTCTTGGGTACCAGTTGACTAGGAAGCATTTTAAAGGTCTAAGTTGCTCATGACACCACAAGCTATTCAGATATGTAAGATCTCTAAATAATTTTTATAGTTCTGAGAAACTCATCCTTAAATATTGTCCAACGATGTGCACTATGTTGTTTATTGCCACATGGACAAGTAGCAATACACCCTTGACTAGAAACTTTGTATAGCAATTTCGCTGCCTTTTGCCATTTTACATTTGCGAATTGCCAAGGACATATGTTTCTTGTGTTGCTACGAAGGTTTGTTTGTGAGTACTGGTACAAGACACCCATCTTTGATATATCTTCAAATAGGTATTGCACTTTGAGATTCATATAGTAATTTAGAATGCTACCTTGAAGGACATAAGAAACTTTAAGAGCTCTTTTTAACTCTCATCCTTCTTTGCAAGCAACATTCTGTATCATCAGACTGAATACAAATTCTCTCAACATTGAACTCCTTTGTCTTGTCTGCAGCACTGTAATAGACATGGGCCATAAGGAGAGTGTCAACTTCTTCATGATCAGTATTTGATAGATAAGTTGCAACTATCAGTTTTGCAAAGTTCAATAGCAGCTCTGCCATAAGTGAAATTCATCCCGTTTTAGAGATACAGTAACATTGCTTCACAAACCAAAGACAGCTTTACCATTTTGTAATCCTTTCCAAAATCATCTTGTTGGCTGTTCTTCATTTCACAATGTTTACATTTACCAAAATATCCCCAAGCCCAATATCTATCATGAACTTCCTAATTACACCACCCTTAGGTGTAATATGGAAATCACCAAGCATTTGACAACATTGCATTTGATATGAGGGAATTCAACCAATATGGCTTGATCACTGGTTATAATTATCACAGTACTATACCCCATTATTTTTAAATATATTCCAAGTACTGTATAAGTGGTATTTAATCCGAGTGGTTAATTTGCCGAATGGTCAAATTTTATCAATTTCCTTATTTTAATTTTCCTAATGACAAGAAACTTCCCATTGGATAACATTATGAAGACAATATTTCCGACATTTAATTTTCCGAGCCTGGCAAAAATGAGGCAATAGGCAAATTAAAAGATTAGGCAAAATTACCACTTATACAGTATTGTACAATACATTGCATAGATTCATGAGCAGTTTGCAACATATCATAACCAGAAAAGCCCAATGGACAAAGATAGAGAATACCCGCCCCATTTGCAACTCAACTTTAAATGTCTAATTTTTAGACTTGTATACTCATGAAGTTCCTGACACATCTGAAAAATATCAAATAATACATAGTATTGATCTAGAATAGCGACAACTTTGTTAAAGTCTATACTTTGAAATTGTTTGGTTTTTATATTTCTGGTTATTTTTTCAAAATAAATGGGGTAGGGGAGATATGTAAGCTCTAATATAATGACAGGCTTTCCAATATACATTTTTAAATACCTTAAATCAAAATAGGCAGGCAAAAGAACAGATTTGATCAAGAATCCATCAACCAATCAGCATAAAACTCAATATATAAGGAACTATATGTTATTGCTAACAGTGGAAATGATGAAAAATGCCAAATTTTGTTCTTAAATGTCTAATTTCTCTAACACTAGAATACTAATGAAGGTACTGAAACATTAAATATAGCAATCAATAACACATAAAGAATAGTTACATCTTTGTTAAAGTTTATACTGGTAGTTTGAAGTTATTTTTTTATATTTTCCAGTCATCTTCCCTAATAAATGGGGTAGGGGAGAACTGAAAGCTCTAATATGAACATTGTTTGTCTACTATACATTTTCAGTACCTTAAATGGAATAAAACATGTACAAGAACAGATTTAATCCAAAATGTATCAACCAGTCAGCATAAAACTCAAGATATGAGGATCTATATGTTTCTGCTGAAAGCAGCATTGATTAAAAAATGCCAAGTTTTGTGCTTAAATGTCTCATTTCTAGCCACTTGAATACCAATAAAAGTTCTGAAAAATCTTAAAAATATTAAATAACACATAATATTGATAATAGAATAGCTACAACTTTATGAAAGTCTATAATTTCAAGTTATTTTATTTTTTTATATTTCTCGTTTATTTTCCATAATTGATGGGGTAGGGGAGATCTGAAAGCTCTAATATGAACATTGTTTGTCTACTATACATTTTCTATACCTTAAATGGAAGAAGACATGCACAAGAACAGATTTGATTGAAAATGCAACAATCAGAAAGCATAAAACTCAAAATATGAAGAACTATATATTACTGCTGAAAGCGAAAATGATAAAAAAATGCCAAGTTTTGTCCTTAAATGTCTCATTTCTAGCTACTTGTATACCGATATAGGTTCTGAAATACCTTAAAAACATTAAATAACACATAATATTGACATAGAATAGCTACAACTTTGTTAAAGTTTATAATTTCAAGTTATTTTATTTTTTCATATTTTTCGGTAATTTTCCATAATAAATGGGGTAGGGGAGATTTGAAAGCTCTCATACGAACATTGGTTGTCCACTATACATTTTCTATACCTTAAATGGAAGAACACATGTTCAAGCACAGATTTAATTAAAAATGCAACAACCTGTCAGCATTGAACTCAAGATATAGGGAACTATATGTTAATGCTGAAAGCGAAAATGATTAAAAATGCCAAATTTTGTCCTTTAATGTCACATTTCTAGACACAAGTATACTTATGAAGGTCTTGAAACATCTGAGAAACCTTACATAACTCAAAATATTGATATAGAATAGCTACAACTTTGTTTGAGTTGAACATTTTGACTTCTTGTAGTTTCCATTTTTACCCAATTTTTTTCTAAAAAATTCAAGGTATGTCTTCTTCGAAACAGTATTTAGATATGTTTGCAAGAGTTATATGCTTCGCAGGCGAAATCCTTTATGCAGGACAGGTGTTCACAAGTGAGAGGTGTCCATTTGAGACAGGTGTTCACTAGTGAGAGGTGTTCACTTACACATGTCTTGCTCTACTGCTTTATTCTTTTATAGGAATGGAAATCACTGATGATCTTGCAGAAGCACTAAATGAGGAATCAAAAGATGTCACCACGTGTCTGTCAGATTTACGCTGTCTTCTTGCTCTTAAGAGGTGTCGCAAATCTGTGCAGCACTTACCTGTCACATTGACAGATCGACTCCCTATTGTGAACATGGCAGGCCATCAGCTTGAGAAGCTTGGCAAACACAAGATATTCATCAAGCTCTGCAGACAGGGGAACCATTATGTCGTAAGTGTTTTTATTTTATTTGTAATTTTTGTAATACAGGGAAATGCTGATTTGTAAAATTATATTTTTGTTCAAAAACACAAAACATCAAAATACAATGGAAAAACTGAAAAAAGAAAGCAAAATCTAATAGAAGATATGAAACCAGTCCATAAAACAACGCTAAAATATTAAAACAGTGATATGTTACCTTAAAACATACAATAAATATATTCAATCTAACCACTAACTGTGATTTCTATTTTAGGTGATAGATGTAAAGAATCTGAAGACATACAGAGTTGAATTATCATACTATCTGTTACATACATTGCCATCATCATTTGATTGTGACATCACATCTGATGCTCTTGATGATATCCCCATGCCATTTTTGCGAGCAGGTCACATGATAAAATTGGATGAGTTTAGCTGTGTTCATGGTTCTGCGACTGTTCTCCAAGGTGAATACATTTATCAATATTTCACATTATTATATACCCAATATGTAACACTAATCCTGATTGGTCAATACCTAGTCACGTGTTCCGAAATAGATTTACTATTTCCCTCGGAAAGTTATATTCCCTCAAATGTGACGTCAGCGGGAATATACATTTGAACTATTGCCCGCTGACGTCACAATTGCAACTTCTATTACCCTTGGAAACGTCTGCGCATCATCACTGCGCAGACGAAAAACAGAAAAATGGAGGATGAGCACAAACACAAATCAACTCCGTTCACCATGACAGACGTGCGTGGACGATACAGTATAAGCAACGTGTATAAAGTTCCCTAAGCTCAATACGTCTGTGTAATTTCAAGTGTTATGATAATCTATTCCGCGTGTTAAACGCGATTGAATTTGTCAAGTGAGAGTCTCAGAGGCAAAAATTTCTGTTGAGCATCTGATGACGTCACAGCTTATAATGCTAACAATGGACCCGGGGAGGGGGCTTTCTAAGCCTTTTTGGCCTTCGCAGAGGAAACGGGACAAGAGTCAGTATAGGGGTATATAATAAAACAAATAGTGACTGCCTAATTTCGAGCAATAGTGTAAATGATTTCCCCTTGGGAATATCCTCTACAATGTACTATTCCCTCAGCCTGCGGCTTCGGGAATAGTACATTGTAGAGGATATTCCCTCGGGGAAATAATTTACACTATTGCCCTCAATGGCAGTCACTATTTGTATAATGTTACCATATTCAACCTTACATAGCTCCCTCCCACTATCTTTATATAGCATGCATTGTTTTATGCAATTTTTAGAAGTATGGTGTTACAGAAGATTTAATAAAATGGGAATAAAATTCAGCAAGCAATGAATAAGTGTTGATCGCAGACACTGAGGTTTTATCATTTATTTCTCTTACATATGGCTGCTAGGGAAGGTAATTTGGACTTCCTAAACAAGAAATCTCAAAACATCAAAATGTAGTGAGTTTTCCATCTAATTGGTATGATTGTGTGATGTTTACCTTATTTTGTGACCTTGACATTCCAGAGGAAGTAAAAGAAGAAAGGTCCTTGTTTACACGCAAACGTAAAGCCTTGTTTGGTGCTATAGCTGAAAGTCAACCAAAAAAGACGAAAACATCGCCATATTTGGTGCCTGAAGTGACGCAGATCATAACCATGTGTGAAGAACGACTACCACTTCTCGCTTTAGAACAAGAGGTAAGAGTAAACCTCTTTAATTACCACATGATTGTGTTTCATGATGCATGGTATAGATATATTCAGAGACATACAAGAGTATAAACTTTGTCCAGTCAATTATCTATTTGTTGACTTTTTATCACACCCTTTGGTACTTTTTGTATCTTGATCAATTTGCGGGGCAGATGAGTGGGTGTCTTGAAATCTTGTAACAGAATATTGTTTCATCTATGCATAACCTTGGTAGCTATCTGAGGATGGCATGGAGTTGACTCTTTAATTAGTATAGAAATAAAGCTTTCCAATTAAAGACTTTAGAGAGAAATTCTGAATACCAGTTAGATATGTTATTTCTAGGAATTAGATTGTACACAAACTCAAGGGTCATGCATCCATTTACAAGAGGCAATGCAACATTCAGCACTTATGTGCAACATTTATTTCCAGTTGAGTAGACAAGATATCAGCACACAGGGTATCCAGGTGGATTGTAATGGGACCTGCTTGTCTCTCACTGTCTTAGAGTAAGTAACAATTCATTCCCATTATATTTATCATTTACACAAAATGTAATAACTTATACATATACATAATATCTGATTTGTTGATAGAGATAGCTAATCAGTATATTTGTTAGGTATTTTATGAAGTCTTCCAAAATGTAAATTTTCTCGAGTATGCACCAAAAACGTTTTCTTATCACATGATAATGTAGTTTGGCAAGAAAATCTAAATCTTTTATCAATAGTTTCAAATATCACACACATATTTTGTGATAAATTCCTTCTTGAAATCCAAAAGTGAATTTGTTTTGCTGTATAACATAGTACCGTTGGTTATAGTGACACCAGTGTTTTTCCAGATTACCGGATTGTGTTGGTTGTAGCAAGGAGGTGTCTGATGAATTGAAATCAGCATTATTGTCTTGCAAGTTCAGACTACAGAGAAAAAATGCCAGGATGTGGCTAGTGGAAGTAAGTTTGATTAAGACCAGTGTTTTCATAATGCAAATTACATTACAGAACCACCAGACTGACAGGTTATGAATTTCAACCAGTCCATACCAATACTCACCAGTCATCCAGACCTGTAATATCTGGTAAATCACAGGTCCAAGGACAATATGATCCCTATGCAGCAAATTTTATCAAAAATAATTTGAAGAACTTCAAGGTTATCATCATAGAATTATGATGAAATTTCAGAGAGCTATCAAACCAAACTTAAACAAGAAATTATTAGACTCGACTCTGTAGATAAATTAGTCTTGATTGAAAAATGTGATCTGAGCATTGGAAAATGAAATTTATAATTTGCTTTTTGTTATGGTCTTTTCCAGTCTTGTTATTTACGCTGCTCAATAGTTTCAAATAAGGATTATTAAGAATATGTTTAAATGTGTTCTTTTTTCAGTACATTTTTACCAACACACCAATCATTGGAGTTCTTAACAGGGATCAAGGAATGGCTTTTAGAGTCTATGGGGATTCGCTTTTGACTCCAGAGACAATGCAGAAGACAGTTCAGGAGTTAATTGATGATTGGAATATGATTGGTCGATTGTATGGTCCAGTTTTAGAATTTGCTAGATACTATAATGGTAGGTCATTGGGATTTTGAACATTAAAAGAATTTATGAACCTCATTCCAAAAACAAATATGTAGCCACAAGGGCCAAAAGGGAAAGACCACTGAGCATTACAAACAAAGTCAGAAAGAGGAACATTCAATAATTTGCTTACTTTACTTAATAAATACAAAATATCCAAAACTATAAAAATCATTATTTATGATGGATAATTAATTGAATTAAGGCCATTCATTCATGACATTTTATGACTTGGATTAACATCTTATCATTTCTAACATTCAGAGCCCAAGACAAATATGCAGAGCATGTGTGAAGTGAGGAACTATAACTACAGAAAGCTGATTATTGCATATGGTCCCAGTAATTGTCAAACTGTAAGTATTATACCTGCATCAAGTTAATCAGCTCAGATATACAATGTAGTATGCATTTTAGCTTAAAATTATGCAAATTATGCATCTTGGTTATTGAACATAAGAATGAAACATCTTCCAATTAGAGGCACGATATAAAAGCCTGTGTCATATGGTTACTAAGATTGTAGAGCTATCAACCAATCAGAATGTAGGACATAAGAGGATAATAAATTATTGAAATTATGTCATGCTGTAACAGAATCAGTAAACATGAAATGCTATCTCTAAACAATAACCAAGTCATTTTGAGTATCCCATAAATTTTTCATTGTATCATTCCATTTTGAGACTCGGTATCACTATGTTCAGCCATGACAGTTGTATTAACATGTTGTTTTTTATTTTATAAATGGCAAAAATATAATTCCATATTTTAGATTACAATACTGTGGAATCATAAGGAGCAGAAATTCACCCTTCAACTGGGTACAATAGGTCCTGCCATCTCCTCAAACCCTCAGCTACAAACATTGCCCCAGCTTGAGAGAGACTTCAATGACCACCAGAACATAGCACAGCTTCTTCAGGTTGATATGAATGGCACTGCTCATATTTCATCACTGAATTCTATACAGAATTGGTTTCATTATCCCATTGAACGAAGTTCGGGTGCATATAGAGAATACTGCTACCCCAATAGAGTTTATAATTCATATGCATATTTCTGCTAAACTTGGTTGATGAAAATTATGAAATGAAATATTAGGATATTTCAACAGATTTGGATATATGAGTTCTGCAACCATTTGTGTGGAGTAACTATTAATATAAATGCAACTTGAGCCTGTAAGTGAATCAATCTTAATGCCCTTATATGGCACATTAATAGGCAAATGCATCTACCCTTATTTGGTTTTACAGGTGCTACACGACACCTGGTCCCCGCTGACCTCTATTGCCAAACTAAATACCTTACCAGTTTTGGGGCTTATTAACGTAAGTATATTATTTATTAAAATCTGATACATTCAATTAGCAGCTTTTTTTAACAATGGTGTACTTGTCCAAAAAATGAAAACATTTTTTCAGAAATACATTGAAAATAAGAAGAGCTTTCATTTTTAGCTGTCCAACTTTACGATTTATGACCTTTTTTTCAATTTTATTTCAGCGACCAAATTTAGCAATAGCAAGTTTCACAATTTTGCCACAGTCAGCGACCCATATAAGGATCTCTTTCCGCAATCACTTCTGTATTGACATTAACTGCCGAGGGAGCAGGCTGGTGGCAATTAGAGATGGCGCCTATAGTCTGTTTGACAGTGCAAAGGTTGTTGATGGATTTAATCCTACACCAGGTCTTAAGGTATGTACATTATTGACTAAATAAAAAAAACATTTAGAAAATGTAGGTTACTCAGTGACTTTAAAATTCTTTGAAATGTTTTTAACTTAATTTTTCAATTTTTTTTTCTAATATCTTTTTGATGTAATAATAGAGTAGAATAATATATTGCATATATCAAGCACATCTCAAAAATAGAGGTGATAGTTTATTATCATGTTTTGCTCATGTTCCATCATGTTTTGCTCATGATTTATAGTGTTATATTGCAGGCATTTCTCAACATTTATGTAGATGACACCGCAACTGCAAGTTTGTCTCGACGCAGATCTACAACTGAAGATGACAACCCTCCTTCCCCTACAGGTAATAGATCTTCATATCAACCAAAGGTTAAACCCCAAAAAATGTTCAAATTAATTTATGAGTTGATATTTCATGAATCATTTAAGATAGTGGGATTCATTACTAGTAAGCATTTCCATACATTTATCTAGTACAATTATCATACTAGAGATAATGATATTAGGATTGTTTAAGCTTTTATTATGTCACCACCAGAAGCGAAGACATATTGTTATTGTCTCCAACGTTTTTGTGGACAGTGTATGGGGTCTGTAATAAATTACAGCATCTGTAACAAATGACAGGTAGTGACATTTTGCATGTGAATGCCTTGTTATCGCATGTGCCTATATAAGGAGGAGTAAAATTGAGCTGGCATTTACTTACCTTTTAGGTATTGATATAATGGACTCGTTTATGACATCACAGTCTCATAACACAGGATCTCCAGCAAACAGAGCCCAGAAAGATGCTCAGGGGTTGAGATTCAACAGCCCAAAAACACCACCAAGTAATCCACATACGCCAGCCTCACCTATTGCATCAAAACTGGGCCAACCTGTAAGTGCTTAAGATGTTTTAATGAAAGGTGATTGTGTCCAAATCTCAACTGTTGTGAGAAAGAAGAAAGTTAGTTTCATGGGGAGGGGTAAAGTTGGTGAACATTTAGTATTGTTAGTACCTCAGTGTAAATACTCGCATCTGATTGGTCAATTAGCGGTCAACATTTTTGCCTGTACCCCACCTGTGCATCATGGGATATCATATTATTGACCGCGTATGTTACTGTACTACACTTGTGAATTACGGGAAATCTGACGTCATAATATTTACAGAAAAAAACATGGGAGACGGACATTTTGTAAACGTTGATGAAAGTGATATTTTGACTTTGCTAGGCGACAAGTATTGCAAAAATACAAATAGAAACGTAAAATTAACATTAATTTACTAGTGAGTACGCAGTGATGTGCCGAAAACAGAGAGTTTTAGAGCTACCGCTGTCTTCAGATTTTCTTACAAAATTATTGCTGGCGTGGTTCGGAGAAAAGATTGTAAAATGAAGCCATGATTGATGACTGTCGTCTATATGTGTATTATTTGTTTCTTCTGACTAACAAAACAATTGTAGACCTCTCCATTCGATCAACTGTCAAAATCATACCTCGACTGTAAACCTTGAAACTACTGTTGACCTCAACCTTCGGTCTCTGTCAACAGTAGTTTCTCGGTTTACAGTCTCGGTATACAATTTTGCCAGTTGACCTCTGGAGAGGTCAACAATTGTATATTGTTTGCGTATCTCAACATTTGTAATTATTCAACATCTTGTATTGCAGTATTTACTTTAATGATATAATTAAAAGTTAATAATATCATTCTTTGCATTGATTAAAGTTACAATATTTCTTTTTAGGGATACAGTTCCTCACCAGCAGCAGCTTTTCCCCTTTCCTCACCCCCTTCACTCTCAACAATTGCCCCCTCTCCCATGATGATGGCCCCCTCCCCAGGGTTTCTGCCCCAAGGGTCACCAGGGAACATTCTACATGAGCCCTCCCCAGGGTCATTTATTCCTGCCCCTAGTCCTAGTTCTCTAGGAATTCACATGCCCTCTCCAGCCAGCACATTCATCAGCCCACATGGTTAGTAGACTTTCACATGGCCCTTATAAATTAATTGTCTGTATAACAATGCTTTCTGATTAATTAAATCTGATTAACAAAGGATTAACCTATGTAGGCCTTTAATTTGAGTTTTTGTTAGTGAGAAACCAAACAAAAAATAGAAATGAAAAAAACTGAATCAATGTTGAAGTGACTGTAGTTTTAAACTTTTAAATTGATTTCATTCACATATATGATCAGGTGATTTACATATAGCACCCTCAGTCTTATTTTTAAAACATTTAAAATTATTCGTTAATATTCTAGGTATGGTTGAAGGCATGGGTGGTTCACCTCACCCCAATCTCATGATGCCTTCTCCTGGGGGTGGCAAATGGCCAGGCTCTCCAGCCTCTGTACCTAACCCCTCTCCCGCACCCAAGTACCCAGAGGCATCTCCAGGTCCCCATGGTGAACACTCTGGGCAAACAGGTATGTGTATTATATAGAATGTACATTAAATGGAGCAAATATTGGCGATAATAGATGTAGTATTACACACCAATATTTGATAAAGGATCTCACAACATCAAGGATTCTATATTTGACTGCCATCTTTATTTGTAAAAGTATGATTTTTTTTATATATGAGAACTGATATAAATTGCTTCTTTCTGCTTCAGTGTCGCGAATTCTGCCTCAGCGATCTTGGGCTGCATCTATTCCCACATTGCTATCTCACGATGCCTTGAACAAAATTTTGACCCCTGGGCCCCACCCTCTCCTCACTCCTGGGGTCAAACTACTTCCATGCTGCCCCCTGGAAAGATTCTTAGGAGGTGTCTATTTACGCAAACATATGCAGCGAGTTGTACAGTCGGAAGAAAATGTTAGTATAACACACATAGTTTATATTTAAAACAGGCGTTAGTTTAATTAAGGGTCAAAAGTTATTGAGGGTTAAAAACCAATGTTAAACCAGCGTCAATATGAAGTAATATAATAAAACTTGTCTCAGGATATTTATCATCACATTTAGTTTAAAATCGAGTAGTAGTATACACTAGTGCCCTAAATAGCAAGAAATGGTACATGTATATATGACTGTTAGTAAATAGAACATGTTTTTTTATGATTTCAGCTTCACAATGTGCCCTCAGACCAAGCAGGTGTAATACAATTCAGGACAGATACACTACAGTTCAGGCTTGCACTGAACCCTACAAACTTTCAGATTCTCTCACTCAAAGCAACTCCAAGCCAAGGTTAAAAAATTTACAAACTTACTACATTTTCTAAACATCATGTTTCCTGTTCAAATCAGTAAAACAATTATTGCAATGAACACATGATTCAATATGCTAAAGATTGAGCCATGAATTGTTTGGTATTGGACACTTGATTATTTCATCTGGGTAGGGCTGGCATTCATAGTTAACCTTACTAAGCCAATAACCCAGATGTGAGTAGAAATAATCTTGATTTACGTCATTAAAAATTCAAAATTAAGTCAAAGTAATATCATATTTGAAATCTACATGTAAAATTACATCTAGAAATGTGGTTTTAAAAAGTGTTTATCAACTTTGAAAAATTAATTTTCTTTGAAAATGTGACTTCTAGCTCGGGGAGATTCCCCATAGACCCCATGCTATAAAATCACAAAAAATGAAATATCTTTTCTTTTAGTGGACAGATAATATTTTGCTTTACTGGACATATTTTCATTAGTATAAGTATCAGACACATAAGGGTTATATGAAAATTGAGCCACTTAAATTGATAATATTCAAGTTTAAGGGAACTTTCTTATATACCTGCCATGTTAATTGACCCGAATCAGCCACCTGGTGGTGAAACTGGTAACTACCTACTCGCATTTGGGTAATTAGGTCCGTAATTTTGTTTGAAAGTCCCAAATTCCTAAGGCAAAGTCCAAAATCTGTTCCATTCAGTCCAGCATGTTTTTGCCTGGTTTGGGCAACCCTGAGCAATAAAGTCTACTGGTATATCAAGCAATGATTGACTGAATCTGATGAACAATAAAAGTGTCAGTTAATGACTTTTCAATTTTTATGAATTGAAAACCAATAAAAATGTTTTGCGCCAATAAAGTTTCAAATTAAAGATATTTACCCCCATCATTGAATTTTCAGAGTACGCTGATCAATGGAACCAGGAAGATATCCAGATACTTGAGAAATTCTTTGAATTGAAGGTTGCCTGTCCTCCATATAAGGTCAACGTTCTCCTAGCATTTAGCAGGCTGCTCACGGCACCATATAGGATCTTGAAAGATTGTATCCAAATCATGAGGCTGGAGCTGGTAAGTCACTTTTGTGAAAATGGTGTACAGTAATGTTTAATGTGCAACTTAATTAAGAAACATTTGACAATCTTATTCTGATTCTGATGTTTATTTTGAAAAAATAATTTTTCATATCCAAGGCTGAATACATTATGATGTTTTTGTAATTTCAGGTGTATTTGATTCCATGTTTGTTTTTTTCTTGTAGTATCCCGATCGTGGTGTAAAGTGGGAGGTGAGATGGTGTTTGACGATTTCTCCTGGCTCACCCCCTCTGGCCCCTGCTGGCACCCCTGCTGTCATGATTAAATCAAAGATGCTCATTATGGTTAGTAATATTATCATTGATTTTCATTGTCCGTACAACTGAGACTGCCTTTTTTACAACAGCCCTTGCCCCTTAGCACAAGATTTTATTCTGCATTTTTATTATTTATAAATAAGTAAATAAAAAGTGTTAATATTAGCAATGTATTTCTCATGTTTTTCTTAGCAATGCACTTTTCATGTTCTCTTATCAATATGTTTTTCAACTCATCCATTTATTAATTTCTCCTGAATATATTTTTTCTCATGGTTTGTATCGTATGTCACCACTTGTCACCACCATACAATGACATATTGTTATAGTCTTTTCAACTAATGTTGGATGGTGTTCAGTGGTTGATGTTCAGATTTCGGCATCTATAACATGGTGTTCGATGAATGGCATTTGTAACAAATGGCAGGTGGAAACATTTTGCATGTTAGGCTTATCAATGTATTTTTCATGTTGTTCACATAAATATATTTCTCATGTTTTAATAATTTAATGTGTTTCTGATGTTTCAGCTTCAGTTCACGCGGGTGGGTGTTGCAGTTCCCCCAGGCACAGACCCCCAAACAATAGTTGTTCCAGTTTTATATGACATAAACACAAACATTACAACAGTTGCTGAGCCCAAGCCTGGCCAGATAGGTGGCGCCACTTCCACACCAGCAACAATGGCTGTTCAACAAATGTTGAAAAGATTCACAGACTTTCACCAGAAGCTTCCAGATTGTTCTATATTCCCAGCAGTGAGAGAAATAATGAACAATTTAGTCATACCAATGTAATGGAAATGCATGAGCAATGGAGTCTGTGAGATTCAGTTGTCTTTAACTATATTGATGTCGTAATATGATTCAGGCATTAGCATTTTATTGATCATAATGCACATTATTTTTTTTAGATTACAAACTGTCCTCATAATGATTCTTGTGAACGAAATGGATAAAATAAAAAATCTGTCATCTAATGTCATCGCTATTTAAGATTCATAACTGATTTAATCAGTATTTTTTCAGGGGTTTACCAGAAGCTTTCGTAAGATAAGAATTCCCAAGTCTGTTGTTCTCTTATACAGGGTGTCTCAAAAAAATGTACCCAAAAGTATATCAAGAGCACAGATAAACCAATCAATATTTTCAGACATTTTTCACATGGTCATGTAGCTAAAACATGAAAGTTTTCTCCCCAATACACCATTTTTATTTCAGTCTTGTCTTTTTGATGCTTTAACCCTTTACCTTTTACACCACATAATCGATGTTACCTCATTTTTCGATGACAGCCTGTATCCTTACTAGTGGTGTCAATTAACTGCTTGAGCATTAACCGGTTAACCGGATGTTTTTACCGGTTAAAGTCGGTTAACCGGCGGGAAATTTGAACTGATAATTTCAAATGAAATCTTCATCTTCGATCTTGAAAGTTGAAAAAAATGGAAAAATGATATATCAGCGTTTATTTTGTACGTTCGTCAAGCTTTACTCTATTCTATTCATACACTACCTGACTACCGGTACCTCTAAATTACCACACTGGTTTACCCTTGGAATCTCCACGAACGCACCATAACAACGAGAATTGCAGCTGATTAGTGTTTATTTTGATTTTAATTTTCTCACTACCAAAGCGAGGCTTTGACCTTTGACATTTTGGCGACGTTGATAGACAACAATATAACAAAACTGAAGAATTAAAAAATGCATATAATTTATTTATGAAATAGTTTTGCAATATGAGTTGATTACACATGGCTGACACTTGAAAAACAAACAGATTAACATGCAAAGTAAGCGCGGGAAAGCAATGTGGCAGGGATTAAAGGTGCTGATTGGATGTTTGTAAGGAGTGATCAGAACTATCACATGTATGAGTACATGTAGCTCACATGAAACTGACACTTGAAAAACAAACAGATTAACATGCAAAGTAAGCTCGGGAAAGCAATGTGTCAGGGATTAAAGTTGCTGATTGGATGTTTGTAAGGAGTTATCGGACTTATGACATGTATGAGTGGCTTACGTGAAACTGACACTTTAAAACCAAACAGATGAGCATGCAATATTAGCGCGGGAATTAGCAGAATTATACACGGTCAACTAACCACCCATAAAAACACAGACCGGTTAAGGCATTATCGGCGGTTAACCGGTTAAAACTTGACACCTCTAATCCTTACTGCTACATTGTTCATCACATTTGATAATAATTCCGGTGGAATGTTTTGGATTTCTTGGTTGTTCTTGGTCTTTTTGCTTGGAATGAGCATTAAAACACACCTTCAAATAGCCACAGAGAAAAATGTTTGAGGATGATGATGGCAGAACAAATACAGATATTCAGGTCAATTATCGGCATATGATTCAGGAGTTACCTTCCAGGGTTAGACAGGCTAGCCTAGAGACCAAATGATATCCAAATAAAAACACAGTGGTCTCAAATTGACACACACAATTAAGGCTACACTAGAATCCCAACCAATGCAGTTTCTTGAACCTCTGACCTCTCTGTATAAGGGGGCTACAAGACATTGTGAGGGACTCCCTATTCACCATGTTTGAGGGCCCATTTTTTCTCTGAGGCTATTTGAAGGACCATTTTTATGCTAAACCCCAACAAAGAGACCTAGATCAACTTAAGACCAGCATCCGAACAGAAATCAAAACATTCCACCAGAAATATCAAATGTGATGAACAATGTAGTAGTAAGGATGCAAACTGTCATCGAAATATGAGATTTCATTAAATATGTGGTGTAAAAGGTAACGGGTTAAAGTATCAAAAAGGTAAAACTGTATTAAAAATTGAGTATATGGGAAAAAACTTTCATCTTTTATCTACAAGGCCATGCAAAATATTGATTGGTTTGTCTATGCTGTTGATATACTTTTGGGTACATTTTTTGAGACACCCTATACTTTGATGTCATGATTTTTACATGGTTACAATTGATTGTTCAATTTTCTTAGCTTATGATGTTTCAGTATGTACCCTTACCTTGAATATTTTTGACAAGGTCAAGATTACTAATAAGTGAACTGTTTTTGACATTTTCATAGAATGAATTATGGAACATGGTTTACAAATGAATTTACAACAGATACAAAGTGGCATTAGAAATTAATTATAATCTCATGTACATTAAAAATGAAATTGCATTACATCAGAAATTACTTTTAAATCAGAAGAATTATTAATAAAATTTTTAATCATGTATCTGTCAGAACAGGTCTGAATAAATGTGTGCATCATATACAGTAATCAGAAAATAGTATGTTTTTAATTGGTGGAAAATGACATCGAAGAAAGCTCAGTGAAACCTGTAAAGTCAGGGTTCGTACACACCTGGAAATGTCAGGGAAATTGATTTATTTTTCCAGGTGCTGGAAATGTCAGGGAATTTTAAAATTGAGTCAAAAAGGGCCAAAAATGTCAGTGAATTTTGAAACAGTAGATGTGTCAGGGAAATGTCAGGGAATTTTGTATGATTGTTGAAAAAATAATGTTTTAAAATACATTTTAAGGCTATGACAGGATATCAATGAAATCCAAAATCAAATGTTAAGTTGTTTCCACTAATTGTAAATCTTTTCATTAGGGTTGATTGAATGACATTAAATCTGGTTTTGCTATTTGTAAGAATAGTGTGAACATTATACTGAAACCAAATAAAGAATATGTATACCATACATCATGGTAGATGGTTCAATACAATTATGCTTTCCAAGTAGTAAGTTAGTCTTAGGCCATTCAAAGTTAATTACTGGTATATGTTTCATGGTTTGTTGAGGGGTTAATCTGAGGAGGGCGGGAGGTGAAAAACAAAAAAAAATCTGGGAACTCTTTACAGTTTGGAATTGTATTTATACTAATAAGGAGCTGTCTGTTCGATAGTCCGATCGTATTCAGTCTCTTTATCTATCAGGGTGATAACTCAAATATCAGTTGACAGATTTTGTTAAAATTTTATGTACCAATGCTTTTGTTACTATATATAGAGCCTCTGCCCAAGAAGCCACTTGCCATTTTTCATATAATGTTTACAATGATAGTATTTGATAAAATATGTTTCATTAGGTGGGCATTGCCCCTCAAGGGAGTTGAAATTTTTCTTTAGATCAACATTTTGAAGTTTCAGTTTTTATTTGGATTCATTACAAAACATTAACAAATTATAGTTTGAAATGCTTAGAATGCATCATATACAATTGTCAATTTTGAAAAATTTCCGGGGGTGAACCCCCGTACCCCCTTTTGGTTTTCCTTCACTCGTAGTGATGCAAACCCCAAAAGATGCACCCCTTTGACACTTGTTTAGTCATGAGAAATGGTACTAAAAGACAAACCCAAAATGTTTCATAATAAGTATTGTCTTTTAAATAATAAAGTTGTTTGTGTTACGCGGAATATGGCATATATTCATGGTTGTGCGGTATTTGTGATACTGTTGAATATGTCATACTCACCTGTAGTATATGGCATATTCCGCAGGTGAGTATGGCATATTTCGCAGTGAATATGCAATACATTGATTTCAGTGAATACCACATACTCACTGTGGAATATGTCATACTCTCCTGCGGAATATGGCATACTCAACTGCGAAATATGCCATACAGTATATATGTATTTTTGTTATTCAATTGTATTAGCTGATATATTCAATGCACTAAGATGTTGATTCAGTAATCATAATAATAATTTATAGACTTTAGCACATTCGTTGAATCGATGTAATTGACAATTGCGTATTTCTGTATCACGTTCTCATTGGTAAGTGTGTATGCCATATTCCGCAGGTGAATCTGGCATACACCGCAAGTGATGATGCCATATTCATTGCGGAATATGACATATATTTGTATCGTGTTTACCGCGTAACAGACTTTTTAGAGGCCGTGCAAGGAAAACTAGATCTGGAAATTTCCTTTTTTGCCTGGAAATGTCAGGGAATTGTCAGGGAAATTCATTTTGAAAAAGGTGTACGAACCCTGAAAGTGGAACACCTCTAAAAGTGGAACACCTGTGTTAGTGGAACACTTTTCAGATTTTGAACAAAATACTCATCGGCCATGCACCAGTGATGAAAATCGAAGCAAATGTGACCACATGTTATACAGGTTTTACTGTATGCTGTTTTCTCTAAATACAAGGGATGATCCAAATATTCTGGTAACAAGGACACAAATATGTAATCTGTCCCCACCAATGGGTGATCCTATATAGATTTTTCATCCTGAATGCCCAACACTAATCAGCTGTAGAAACAGCTTTTAGGATGGAGAATCCAAGAGGCACTTTGATTATTGCAAGTTATTTCAGATGCAGCTGTTACACTTATGTTATGTGAATTCTGTGACCACAACAAGCAATTTAAAAGAAAGAGCATTGCTTTTTTACAAGCTATAGGGTGTTCTTCCTTTTTAAGATGCTGAGGGGGCATGGCTTCCTATTTTTGATTCTGAGGGGGCATGGCTTCCTATTTAAGATGCTGAGGGAGCATGGCTTCCTATAACAAGCTAAAGTGAGTTCTCTTTTTACAAGCTGAGGGGGGAGAAGAAAATTTTAGACTGTATCTACATGCACACGAACATGACAAAGGTTATCCCTGAACATTTGAGGGTGATATCTGTAGCAGGTTTAAGAAAACTGTTGGATATAAGGATGTATGGATGGAGATGCCTTGACTGACAATATGCAGGATATAAAACTGGACTTCATTTTTAGATAAATGATATTTTCACAGATTCAACATGGAACAATTTTGTATTTCACAAATTTTATTATCTTTCAACAGTAGAATATTAAGGACATGTATATGTATATACTTTACAGTTTACATGGCTATATAATGGTGATTGTAATAAGACAATGATGGTGTAACTTTAGCTTAATGATATAATATGTATCACACAAGTATTTTAAACATATCATCCAACTTGCTGGATAAAATTCAATGTAGGCTATATTAGTAATAATAGCAAATACTAATTTCAAATTAATTTAGAATACTAATTACTACAATGCATCAGTGGACACAATACACCAATGGACAAAATGCACCAGTGTAAATGCACCAATGGACAAAATGCATCAGTGGACACAATACACCAATGGACAAAATGCACCCGTGTAAATGCACCAATTGACATATTGTAGTATGTTTATGTACCATTCAGAGTCTTGATATCTCATATTACCTATTTATCTTTTTACTGATTATTCTCTTCAACAATATATTCTAAATCATTTTGCTATTTACCATTTCAGATTATTGCCTTAAGTGCTAATGTCAAGAGAGAGAGTTACAGGGTGTTCAGGAGGTTAAGGTACATTAGTTACCTGGACCACCCTGTATTATTTACACATAAATATTCAACATTGAGATAAAATACATATGATAACCTACTTAATATTTAACATGTTTAATTAATTATATATGATTAATTACATTATACTACATGGCTTGACAGTAAACTATTTATTTGTACATCATCATAAATAGAATTAAAGAATATTTACAATATACAGTAGTTACAATCTTTTATATAGGTGCGGTTGTCATATAATTTTCTACACTATCAACATAAGCCTTCATAAATATTAATAAGTTATCTATAATACAATTCGTCATTGTATTCAATAATAAACAAAATACAAGATGTCAGGGGATCTTGTATAAATACACACTAATACACATTTACATTACCAACCCCCTCTCTCCAATAAGATGAAAAGATAGAAAGAGCAAGTATGTTACAAACAAACAGATCTTTGTAAGTGGATAATAATTAGTTTTCAGTTTAACCACAGTGGTGGGTATAATCATATTTTGATGCAAATATACATTTTTACAGTATTCTGACCAATGACTGAATTAGTTACTTAAAACATTGATACTTTGATCCATTCCCTGGTTATGTTTGAACAGTTTGTCAGCTGCAAGGAAGAGCAATGCTGAGGGTGAGGAGGACTCATCCCAGAAAATCAAAAATTTGTTTCTGTTGTGTTGTTGTCTTCATGTTGTCCAAAAATGTCTGAATCCATTGATTTTTCACTGCAAAATAATCAAGGTTGTCATTCATTTCCATTCCAAATAACTACAATTTCTACTGCTAGTGGCCTTACCAGTCTCATTAATTTATACACCATTTACTAGTGAAACTATGATTCAGGTGCTGCACCTTAAATCACACAAAGAGAAAACTGACCATTTTGCCACGCCAATCCAAGATCCTTATTTCTTTTTCTTAATAAATATTTTTTAATCACACCACATTAGAAGACATAATACAAGAGGTGGGGTCAAACATAAATGGCCATTTTTATACAATCGTTAATCTTGCATCTTGCACATCAACACCAACAAATTCATACTTTTAGGAAACAGATGGGAGGGGGTTGGGTGATGAACGTGATGTAGAACTTCAACAGGTGTAAGTGTTGACGAATTTGCATCCAGATATATTTAAACAGAACTTGCACTCCCAGGTCTTTCTTCAGCTTTGAGTGTGGCAACACGCCGTGAAGGTGACATGGTGACTGGGAAATGAGTCTCCGTATCCAAATCATCATCAGTCTGACAACTGACATCCTCTCTGTTTTCTGTCTGCATGGCTGCGTCACTACACTGTGGCCTTATGGGAGCCTGGGGGTAAGAGGTACTAGAGGGACCCCTGGGGGGTGATGGGGGAGGTGGGGTGTCAGAGAATGGATGCTGGGGAATAGGTCTGTGTGGGGAGGGGGGAGGAGGAAGATCTGGGGGGATGTCATATGGATCAAATGGTGGGGGTGGGGGATACCTGGAATCTAGTGAACTCTGACGGGAATCCCTAGGGGTCTCTGATTCCGGGATAGATGGATCCAAACTAGGCTCCTTTGATTGCATTTTGGGTGTGTCGGAATAGTGATCAGCCATGGAGCTCTGGCGAGAGAAATGAGGCTTAGAAGACACTGACTCTGGACTGCCTCTACTTGACGATTTACGTTGTGACACTGGGGTATGAGAGATACTACGAGGCTGATCCACAGTTCCACGACGTCTCACAGGACGAGGTGGGTCATGATCAAGGGAACTAATACTTGGACTTGGGCTGCGCATTTGGGTATACTCTCTGTCCTTTAAGTCTGGTGTATATTGTCCTGGTTTGGAGTCTGGTGTATATTCCCTGTGTTTCGTTTCTGGTGTGTCACCACATAGAGTGCCCTGGGACTTGGTGTCAGAGAGTATACTATCTCTAGAGCCTCGTCTTAATAGTGTATCCGCATGATGAATATCTGGTTGCTTATCCTCGTCTCCAAAGTTTATAAGATCCACTGTAATGGGACTCTCCCTCTGTAAATCAGAATGTTGGCCATCAGAGGGAGGTGTACAAGAGTCCTTGTGTTGCAAGCCCTCCTCCTCTTCAAGACTTCTGAAAAATTCCTGCTGGGTCTCTGAGGCTGCGATATGAGGATGAGGGGCAGTCATGTTAGACACAGGGTCTGATGTATATGATGGAGAAGCACAGCTTGCAGCCATCTCTTTCCCAAAGTCTACCTCCATTATAGGGCTATGTGGGGGTTTCTCTTTTGAGATCATGGGCACATTAAGTGGCCCATGTGAGTCTAATGAATCCTGCTTTTCTAGAGATATATTTCTATTTTTGAGAGGTTTTTTGTTATTGCGGTGATTACGTATACCCTGACTGGAGAGGGCAGTGTATGTAAAATTAGAGTCAGTTGTATCTATAGAGTCCTGCATCTGTAGTTGTAAGGCATTCCTGTGTTGTTCTCTCCACTGAAGTTGCTTCACCCGCTCTTCTTCCCGTTGTTTCTTTGACTCCTGAAAACACAAGTGCAAGTTTTATTGGAATGATTGGAACTTAACTCTGGTGTTACCTTTTAAAATGTTTTAAAAATGTTTTAAAATGTTAACAAATTCCAATTCAAATACATTCAAAAAGTGAGAAGACTAGGCTGACTGGCAAACAAGTAATACGCGTAACAAAGTAAATGAAAGGAATAATACATACATCTTCTCTCTGTTTATCCATGATTGCCACTACGCATTTGTAAACATCGTCCAGTTTTGACTCAGTGGAGTCCTCGTCCATATTGCTGAGTGTTAGCGCTCTGTTCAATGGAAAGAAGTCATACCTCTCTTGTCGCAACTGAAACATGAACAAGATTTATTTCATAACATTTGAAGGTATCCAATTGACTGCACATTTAATGATAAAGACTGTGATAAATATGGAATAATGTACTTGCCATTGAAAGAAAAGACCATTTTTTATCTAATCTTGATGGTTAATTATTGATATAAAATATTTTCCTTGAAGAAGAGTTTTTGACAGTAACCACAAAGATCTGTATTTGTGAATACAAAATCACAAAATCCCATTTTCCCTCCCATTGGCTCCTATGTTAAAAAGCCTTGAAATGTGAACACCTCCCAATTTCAATTTAGCCGGTCCCAACTGCATTCGGATTAGACAGGTTTTACTATAAAACCAAAATTGATTTTCCTTTAAAGCAGATTCACACAAAGCTATGCTAGGTGTGTCCAATTCCAGCCAATCCGCAGCAAATCTGATCACAGTATATCATCATCAGACATTTTGACTCTACAGATTGAAATTGATGCTTTGCCAACTTGACCCTTGCAAAAGTTTCAATGAAAATATGTTCTTTGAAAAGTTGATTTTGTAGAAAATATTTTGCAATGTGTGAAAAGAATTAAAGTCCAAGACTTGATGCATTGTGGCTGATTCATTCCACTAAGGCATTATTTCCTATACCTCACACTCAATGCTGCGCATCTCGTTCAAAGGTTGAAATTAACCTTTTTGAGGAATGGAATGATTCAGTCCACATTGCACCGAGTCCAGGACTTAAATCATTTTGTTCAATAAAAAATAAATAATGTGCTGCCCAATGGGTAAGTTTCATACAAAAAATACAAGTACAAAATGTAATTCAATAGACTTACCATCTTGCTAACATGTAACTCCAAGGCAGTGTAGTCACTGCCCTTTGTGTCGTTCAGGTGAATGAAGAAGAATATATAAGCCCATAGATTGTGCTCATGCCTCACATGATGCTCAAAGCCCTGTAATTAACAACAAGAATATATGTTAAGCAATGAAGAATACATCAAATGTGTGAAATAAGCAATGTTCAATATATTTGGGCCAATGCATCACACATGCTCAAAACCCCTAAAATTGTAGAGGATCAAAAATTGGATTCAAGAATAGAACTCACAATAAAACATTTGTATGTCCATATTTAATGATATGGGATTTAACAGATTTTTTCCCCAAAGATTTTTACTTTACATATGTATGAACAATGAGCAGAAGTATCCATCATGTACAAGATATAGTACCTTAACTACATATGTTTAAAGATTAAGGGTAAAAACAGAAGAGGTACCTTCCCATGGTGCTCAAAGTCATAGCTGTTCCTGCTGCAAATGAAGCAAGTGTCTCTCATGTCAGACTCAGCTTTCCACTGCAATGTAGCAAAACAATTGAATAACATGATCATAATATAACAAAACAATTGAATAACATGATCATAATATAACAAAACAATTGAATAACATGATCATAATATAACAAAACAATTGAATAACATGATCATATTAATAAACATGAATATATAGACATTCCAATGGTTTATGACCTTTACATATGTCTGTATCTCCATATATATATATGTCTGTATCTCCATATATATATCCGTATGTATATGGAATCAAACACCAAACACTATCCACAAAAGGTTGGAGATTATAACAATATGTCCCCACTTGTGGTGGTGATATAAATAATATAGAGACCAATGGTAGTGATGAAAAATGAGAGATAACAACACTTACCTTGAGATCTCTGAGTTCAGAGAAGGTGTCTACGATGATACCAAAGATGATGTTGAGACCAATGGTGGTGATGAAGATGAAGAATGAGAGATGGAAGATCACAAGGAAGCCAAACTTTAGGAAAGTGTTTTCTGACTGGTGGCTGATCAGGTTCTGCAAAATAAGAGGTATATCTATATTTTATTACATAATCCATATCAACCAGGATTCAATCATGATTGAGTTTTTGGTAAACATTTCTAAAATTCTTTATTTTACAATTCTAATTCTATGAGCCTGTCTGTCATTACAAATACATACTAACAGGCAAAACTGTGAATTTGGGAGAGCATGGGGGAGTATGTGATACATAAAATAAATTAATACCAGTTAGTATTTATATAACTACAAATAATGGCCCTTACCTCAAATATATCCCCTATCAAGCCATAACGTATGACAGTCACTGTACACTGCCACAACGTCTGACAGTACAGCTCATTTTTAGGATCAAATGATGACCTCAAAAGAGCAAAACTGACGAGAGCGTACAGGTAGAAGACTATGAAACCCAAGATAGCAACCCAGATCAACGACTTCCCTGAAAAACATCATAAGTAAACCATTAAAATAATAAAAACAGCTCTCTTAACTTTAAACATTTAATGATGTAACCAGGCAGTAGTAGTCTTTTTTTGGCAAAATTTACACCCATGACATGTAATTAGAGTGTTACGTAAGATCACCATGTTGGTATAAAGAGTATTTCAACTGACCGTTCTGAGTTACTGCCTGTATGACACCCTTCAGGAGCTGATTGGTTGTGACAATGTTAAGTAGATGGAAGGCAAAGAAGTACCCTTGGAATACAGTCCCAGCTACACTTAGGCCGAGGAACATCTACAACAAAGACAATGTTAGATGTAATATAAGGTCTTGAATGTAAAAAGTGGTATAATGTTCTAACTTATACTCACCAAGTAATATCAGGTTTCCATTGTATTAGTGAGGTTCTAAATATTGCCTCATTTGGTATACAGTAAAACCAGTCTTAGTGAACACCTCACTCTTGTGAATACCTGTCTAGTGAACACCTTTTCTCAACACATACTCCACTGAGTTCTGTATAAGATTGTAACTATGAAGTGAACACCTACCTATAGTGAACATATTTTTGTGGGTCCATAGGTGTTCACTGTTCACAGGTTTTGCTGTAGTTTGAAATGCAACTAGTAGTCCAAGGTTTTAAATTAACTTACTAAGCGGTACCAGGTTTTAATTGTACTCACTAAGTAGTATAAGGTTTTAAAGCTAAAGAAGTGGACGTCAAGTTTGGAGACATGTGTTTTCTCTTCCTCATCTACATCTGCCACCTTTCTTCTACAACAGTTCCTGGAGCAGATGTACAGAACAGATGTGAAAACAGAACATAACAGCTGTGACTGATGTCATTTAATCTTCATCGTTTCTCCCATCTTCATCATAAGAAGATGTGACATGAAAGTATTGTAAATTTTGATTTGTGAAATTCAATATTTACAATAACTTAAAATATAATTTAATATCTCAAATAAATAAATCTCAAATATTTCTGAGAAGCTTGCCTGTTAGATAATATTGAAAATGTAGCGACAACCATATGCCTGTTTTTTTGTGTACAATAGAGAGTTTTTTTATTTCTTACAATAAAACATTGCTTCTCATTTGAATATTTGTCAAATTATGTGTCAATCTTGAAGAAACCAATAGCAAAAGAAATTGCTTACTTAAAAGCCTTCCGAATGGAATCACAGCTGGGGAGCTGAGGATGGTCAGACAGGAAGTAGCTGATGAGTACTAGGAGGGAGAGGAGATTGTGCACCCCTCCCATTGCATAGATCACTATATTATATTCCTTTAGGGCCACAACTGGTAGAGGGTCATACAGCTCTGGGGGTAGGGGATGAGATTCGTTCTCTGGGATGGTGATAGTCTCCAAAGAGGCCCTAGCATTCCATGTGACTAGCATTAGTGCATTGATAGCTAGACTCATCAGGATGGCACCATAGTTCCATAGCAGCCTAAAAACAAAGTTTGCACATTTATTCATCATTTATATTGACTTGCAAATGGTACCTCTATGATAACTACAACTTCTTTGACCATATTGTAATAGTTACAAATCTTACTGAAATCTATTGACACCCTAAGTTGTGGAAAGCAAACACTTATCAACTGTAATTATATCTTAAGGGAACAAATTAACAGTTCCTTCTAGAGATTGCGAGAGCACTAAAGATGCTAATGATGATCAATGATATTTAATTTACCAGTTCTTTGTGAAAAATGTAGCCAGATAATTTGATATTTACCAATTCTTTGTGAAGAAGGTTGCCAAGGGGTTAGAGATGATACGTCTCTGATAATAGATGTCCTTCAGGATGTCCTTTGACCAGCGCATCATATCTCTAATCTTGTTGCTAGGTGATGTTCTGTCAACATTCCACTTCAACTTCTCTTTCACTTCCTCCCTCAGAACATTCTGGATACAGTAATTGGAAAATTATTTTGATTCACTTCCATTCAATTCATGTCAAAATTCCAATGAACAAAGTTGTTAAGGATATAGAGAAGCCCTTCGTCCATTAGTTCTTCTGTCCATCTGTACGTCTGTCCTTTTTGTAGACTATTTTTAATGGTCAGGCCTAGGATTACTGTAAAGCTTTACATGTAGTTAACCACATGGGTTTGAAGTATACCTACTACCTTACCCTGGCTTTTAACCATACCTTTTAAGATACCTACTGACTTTAACACTGAAGTGTATTCACATGTACTTTGCCTTTAACCCCGAAGTGTACCTACTTTGGCTTTAACCTTGAAATGTACCTACCTTGACTTTAACACTAAAATGCACCTACCTTGACTTTAACTCTGACATGTACCTACATTGGCTTTTAGTCTGAAATGTATCTAGCTTGACTTTAACTCTAAAGTGTACATACTTTGGCTTTAACTCTGAAGTGTACCTATAATTGGTTTTAACTCTAAAGTATACATACTTTGGCTTTAACTCTGAAGTGTACCTACATTGGTTTTAACTCTGAAGTGTACCTCCATTGGTTTTAATCCTAAAGTATAAATACTTTGGCTTTAATTCTGAAGTGTATCTACCTTGGCTCTAACCCTAAAGTATACCTACTATGGCTTTAACTCTCAAGTGTACCTACATTGGTTTTAACTCTGAAGTGTATCTACATTGGCTTTATCCCTTAAGTATACCTACTTTGGCTGTAACTCTGAAGTGTACCTACTTTGGTTTTAACTCTGAAGTGTATCTGCATTGGCTTTATCCCTAAAGTATACCTACCTTGGCTTTAACTCTGAAGTTGACCCGCTGTAAATTGTCATCTTTGATAATCTCAATTGACATGGAACTTTTCTTGTAGAACTCGTAGGCTTGCTTCTGTTCTGGGAGAATATTGATATCTACAACAAAATGTAAAAGCACATTTAAATCTTATTATCAGAGCAAACCTTCAATGAAAAATGATTAACATTGTTTCAAATATTTTATGAGGGGAAATATACGGAAATTTGTATTCACTTATGAATAACGAAACTATATCTCAAAAGTCATTGGATATGAATACAATGTCATAGAGTCTGAATCAGTATGAGGTGACAGGTTAGGCTTTCCTTACATGTGACAACCTCATCTCCTGCCATATTTGGATCAATGTCATAGAGTCTAAATCAGTATGAGATGACAGGTTAGGCTTTACTTACATGTGACAACATCATCTCCTGCCATGTTTGGATCAATGTCATAGAGTCTTGAATCAGTATGAGGTGACAGGTTAGGCTTTACACTACTTACATGTGACAACCTCATCTCCTGCCATGTTTGGATCAATGTCATAGAGTCTAAATCAGTATGAGGTGACACATTAGGCTTTACACTACATACATGTGACAACCTCATCTCCTGCCATGTTTGGATCAATGTCATAGAGTCTGAATCAGTATGAGGTGACAGGTTAGGCTTTACACTACTTAAATGTGACAACCTCATCACCTGCCATGTTTGGATCAATGTCATAGACTCTGAATCAGTATGAGGTGACAGGTTAGGCTTTACTTACATGTGACAACCTCATCCCCTGCCCTGTTTGGATCAATGTCATAGAGTCTAAATCAGTATGAGGTGACACATTAGGCTTTACACTACATACATGTGACAACCTCATCTCCTGCCATGTTTGGATCAATGTCATAGAGTCTGAATCAGTATGAGGTGACACATTGGGCTTTACACTACATACATGTGACAACCTCATCCCCTGCCACGTTTGGATCAATGTCATAGAGTCTGAATCAGTATGAGGTGACACATTGGGCTTTACACTACATACATGTGACAGCCTCATCCCCTGCCACGTTTGGATCAATGTCATAGAGTCTGAATCAGTATGAGGTGACAGGTTAGGCTTTACACTACTTAAATGTGACAACCTCATCTCCTGCCATGTTTGGATCAATGTCATAGAGTCTGAATCAGTATGAGGTGACAGGTTAGGCTTTACTTACATGTGACAACCTCATCCCCTGCCCTGTTTGGATCAATGTCATAGAGTCTGAATCAGTATGAGGTGACACATCAGGCTTTACACTACATACATGTGACAACCTCATCTCCTGCCATGTTTGGATCAATGTCATAGAGTCTGAATCAGTATGAGGTGACAGGTTAGGCTTTACTTACATGTGACAACCTCATCTCCTGCCATGTTTGGATCAATGTCATAGAGACTGAATCAGTATGAGGTGACACATCAGGCTTTACACTACATACATGTGACAACCTCATCTCCTGCCATGTTTGGATCAATGTCATAGAGTCTGAATCAGTATGAGGTGACAGGTTAGGCTTTACTTACATGTGACAACCTCATCTCCTGCCATGTTTGGATCGATGTCATAGAGTCTGGCAAGGACTAGGAAGAAACTGAAGCCATTCTCATACAGTCTTTCCTTCATCTCCTTGGACAGTTCCCTTTTTTCCTCTTGCTGTAAAATAAAGAAAATGTGGCTAAAAATATGTTCATAATGCTAAGCTGCAATATGTTTAGGCCCATACGAAGGGTCTAGATTTTATCGAGGTAAAAATAATTTATTTCTTAATATAGCAGTAGGAGGAAGTTAGGTGTTCCTCTATTGGAAGATTTCTAAAAATGGCAACACCTCTTGCTTGGTTGCCACAACATAGGTATGGACCTTATGTAATTGAAAATAAGTTCTATCTTATAAAAACAAATACTTTAATAAAGTGAGGATTGTTTAGAAAAAGGTAAGGGATATGAATATATAATGTAAATAAAATATGCAGGTAAATGCAACAACTGTTTCAGGGTTTCTGCATGCAGTATAGTACTACAATGTAGTAATAAGTACAGCAACAAGTTATTAAGATACACATATTGAGATGCTTCAGATGTTAATTTGACATACATTACATGTAAAGTTGTTAAGGTACAAAAACTCCATTCTGAAGACAATGTCAACAAAATAAACAAGGCATTAACATGCAAAATGTCACCAACAGTTACAGATGCTGATGCCGAATGCCATTTGTTACAAACATCGACCACAAACAGCTATAACAATATGTCACCACTTCTGGTGGTGACATAAAAAAACAAATTCTATATAAGTCTATAGCCAGAACAGAACAAGTCATCTCTCTATTTTTTAGATAACTTCAATTTGCATTTTAGATAAGGTCAATGTTAAACAAAGGTAACAAATTAAAATATTTATGTTATATATGGTGAAAAACATACGGGAAAACATGATTCAATGGAATACAATACTTATTCCAGAAAGAAAATTGAGATGATTTATCATTCCCAGACAAAAGATGGAAAAGTGGTATTTTAGCAGAATTAATTTTGAAAAACTGTAATCATAATGAAATTTAATCAAGAGTTTAATAAAGTATTTTCTTTTTAAGGAATGCTTTGAAGTTTATCCAGTGAAGATTTCATGAAACATTATTGAGAATTGAAAACGTTATCAGGAAATAATTAAAGGACCCATTCACACAGTGAATTGGAACCACACCGTGTTTGAGAAAAGATTAACTTTGCACAGAAAAACCTCAGCTTTTCACCAAATAATATGACTTTGTAAGTAAGTCATTAAGTTACTCAGACTAAGACTTGGGGTGGGTACTAAGTTATTGAGTTAGTTACTCGGTTACTTAGTTGCTTTATAACAATTTTCAGTCACAAAACCTGCCATTGCCTTTATACTTGTACATGAGAGAGTTCCCTGAAATGACAAAGTCCTACTTTCTGTCATATGTTATAGAGTAAACACAAGTGGTACAATTTTCATGAATCATATTTTAGTGTTAACATGGACGCACTGGTGGTTCAGTGGTGAAATCTTTCCATGGGATTTGCTACGCTTTGGCGTTGCTGTTGTGTAGTTCAAAATCTGGCTTGAAGATGAATTATGATTTTGTTAATCATGTGTTAATATGAACGCACAGGTGGTTCAATGGTGGAATGCTCGTCTGTCATGCAGCGAACCATGACCATGTTTGATTCATTCTCAGTGCAATGTTCTTCATTTAAAAACTGACAAAGATGAATTACAATTTTCAGTTGCACGTGAGGAGAGCTTTCTATCACTGAATCATCAGTGCTTTTAATTTCATTTTTTTTCATTTTAACGCTAACACCATCACTGGTGATCCACTCGATTACGCTGGTTACCGAAACGGTTCGTTTCGGTAACCGTTTCGGTAACAAAATGTCGGAACGTCGAAGGTACGATTTTTCTTTTTTTCCTTGCTTCACGCGTTGTAGCCAGAATCCCAACGACATTTTTTCACACAAACGTGTGTCAGTATCGTATATTTTAGAAAATGTACATGTTTGCGAAAAATAGCTCAGAAGACAACAGAATCGTCGATTTAATTCCTCACTTCAGTTACAGAAACGGTATGGGTTAAAAGTGCAGATCTTAATTGATCTTATTTTCTGACTATTTGTTCGCAAATATGAACATTTTCTTAAACATATGATACTGATATACGTTTGTGATAAAAAATGTCGTGGGAATTCTGCCTACAACGTGTGAAATAAGGAAAAAAGAAAAATCGTACCTTCCACGTTCCGACATTTTAGCGTAATAGATTGGATCACCAGTGACCTTGTTCACACCAACGGCGAATGCCACGCTTCAAATCGGCGAGCATAGCCCCGTCATTTTTGTGTACTTTTCCCAAAATATCACGATCTCCTAAGTAATGTTACGCTCTGATAAGCTATGATTTCCCAACTTGTTACGGTTCCTCACGCTTTGATCCCGCTTTGATCAGGCTTTGTTACGCTTGGAATCACACCTTGATAAGCTTTAGATTACGCCTTGGTGCTATTATGACGCTTTAAATCAGGCTCTGGTACGATTATCAAGCTCTGTTGTACATTGTTACGCTCTGTTAAGCTCTGTCACGCATCGGAAAATGCCGAGATCGCCGATTTCATGCCGCTTTTGATCCAATGACTATATAAACATGCAGTAGATCCATAAAATCAAGTTACATTTTTGACTCCAGAACACTATGGCAGAACAACAAGATCCAGAAGTTCCAGATGTACAAGAGCATGATCTATCTGAAGAAGACATTATGTTTGTCGCCCTGCGTGAAAGAGCGTTGGAGTAAGGAAGCTTGTCAAGCGTAACATAGCCTAACAAAGCGTGTCGATCCTTGATCAAAGCGTCTCAATTCGTTGGAAAGCTTGAGAGTTCTTCATGAAAGCGTAACAAAGACATCTTCCTAAGCAGGTGTCCAGAATCCGTACCTCTCCTTCTTCCCCCAAAGAATATATTCTGGATTTTGTAGTCCTGTGATCGGAGGATGAATAAAGAGTGAGTCAAGCTTTTCGGAACTTTGTTAAGGTGTGTTAAGCTTTGATACGTTCTCGGCGCTTTAATAAATATGCCACCTTAAAGAATAGTTCATAAAAATTGTGCTTCATCAGTTTTTAGATGAAAAATTGCACTGACCAGGAATCGACCCATGGCCAGCAGCATGAAAGGCGAGCATTCTATAACTGTACCACCCAAACAGCCCTAAAGTGTAATTGATGAAAAGCGTAAAAGTGTAATTCATCTTCAAGACAGATTTTAATTAAAATGAACATTACTGGATGGTGGTTCAGTCGTAGAATGCACGGCTGCCATGCAGTTGACCATGGTTCGATTTCTGACCTGTATAATGCTTTTTCATAATAACTGACACGATGATAAATTACAATTTTTATGAATTATACTTTAGTGTTAACATGAAAGCACAGGTGGTTCAGTGGTAGAATGCTCGCCTGCCATGCAGCTTGCCATGGGTCGATTCCTGGCTTGTGTAATATTTTTTCATTTAAAAACTGATATGAAGATAAATTACAATTTATATGAATCATACTTTAGCGTTAACATGAAAGCACTGGTGGTTCAGTGGTAGAGTCCTTGCCTACAATGTAGGTGGGCATGGGTCGATTCCTGGATAGTGTAACATTTTTTTCATTTAAAAACTGATATGAAGATAAATTACAATTTATATGAATCATACTTTAGCGTTAACATGAAAGCACAGGTGGTTCAGTGGTAGAGTCCTTGCCTACAGTGTAGGTGGGCATGGGTCGATTCCTGGATAGTGTAACATTTTTTTCATTTAAAAACTGATATGAAGATAAATTACAATTTATATGAATCATACTTTAGCGTTAACATGAAAGCACTGGTGGTTCAGTGGTAGAGTCCTTGCCTATCATGTAGGTGGGCATGGGTCGATTCCTGGGAAGTGTAACATTTTTTTTCATTTAAAAACTGATATGAAGATAAATTACAATTTATATTAATCATACTTTAGCGTTAACATGAAAGCACTGGTGGTTCAGTGGTAGAGTCCTTGCCTACAATGTAGGTGGGCATGGGTCGATTCCTGGATAGTGTAACATTTTTTTCATTTAAAAACTGATATGAAGATAAATTACAATTTATATGAATCATACTTTAGCGTTAACATGAAAGCACTGGTGGTTCAGTGGTAGAGTCCTTGCCTACAATGTAGGTGGGCATGGGTCGATTCCTTGATAAACATTTTTTTCATTTAAAAAACTGATATGAAGATAAATTACAATTTATATGAATCATACTTTAGCGTTAATATGAAAGCACTGGTGGTTCAGTGGTAGAGTCCTTGCCTACAATGTAGGTGGGCATGGGTCGATTCCTGGATAGTGTAACATTTTTTTCATTTAAAAACTGATATGAAGATAAATTACAATTTATATGAATCATACTTTAGCGTTAACATGAAAGCACTGGTGGTTCAGTGGTAGAGTCCTTGCCTACAGTGTAGGTGGGCATGGGTCGATTCCTGGATAGTGTAACATTTTTTTTCATTTAAAAACTGATATGAAGATAAATTACAATTTATATTAATCATACTTTAGCGTTAACATGAAAGCACTGGTGGTTCAGTGGTAGAGTCCTTGCCTACCATGTAGGTGGGCATGGGTCGATTCCTGGGAAGTGTAACATTTTTTTCATTTAAAAACTGATATGAAGATAAATTACAATTTATATTAATCATACTTTAGCGTTAACATGAAAGCACTGGTGGTTCAGTGGTAGAGTCCTTGCCTACAATGTAGGTGGGCATGGGTCGATTCCTGGATAGTGTAACATTTTTTTTCATTTAAAAACTGATATGAAGATAAATTACAATTTATATGAATCATACTTTAGCGTTAACATGAAAACACTGGTGGTTCAGTGGTAGAGTCCTTGCCTACAATGTAGGTGGGCATGGGTCGATTCCTGGATAGTGTAACATTTTTTTCATTTAAAAACTGATATGAAGATAAATTACAATTTATATGAATCATACTTTAGCGTTAACATGAAAGCACAGGTGGTTCAGTGGTAGAGTCCTTGCCTACAGTGTAGGTGGGCATGGGTCGATTCCTGGATAGTGTAACATTTTTTTCATTTAAAAA